TCCTATAGCAAAAGGCTTTGGCATGAATTGGTTTTAATCTTTCTCTTCTTGGATATAGGTACTATAAAATTAGATTATATGAGAGAGAACAATGGATTTATATATTGTTAATTGTATTTGTATTTTCCATGGTTCTTTGCCTTTTCGGTAATTAATTAATCTAAAAGTACCCAAGTTTTCAGCAAAAACGACTACAATGAAATGTTGCAAAAGCTTTTATTTCTGGTTTTTCCTCGTTTTGGGATGTATTATGATAAGCATAATTGCCTAAATACACTTTTTATTATTTATTTACACTTTAAAAAATGTTTCAATTATTGATTTTTCATGTTAAGTGGTTACGGAACTGTTTTTTTCACCCATATTCCTATTATAGGAATTTATCCACATTTATAAGTGACAAACTAAATGTTTCTGATTTTAGTATTTATGATTTTATGAAGCTATCAGCAGGTTTCTTTATTTTAAACTTAAATTTTAGGGCTAGAAACATTTATTTCATCACTTATAAATATGGATCAATTTCTGTAATATAGATCTATTACTGATCGTTTTATTAATATTACTTAAGTTAAGATTGATTATCTTTAATAAATATCTTAAAGAAAGCTACAGATTTGCTAATCAACACAATTTATTTTTTAACCACAAAACATTACATTTTATAACCATTATATTATTTACATATGATATCGATTGTTTATCAAATTAAATTAAATTATATGGTTTGACCTGCTCCTACAGATCTTAGTAAAAACAGAGTACCATAACCACTTTACATGAAAAATCATTATTTGCCCAGTAACCTTGTGCATCGTAAATTGCCTTGAATGAGGGTAGAAGGTTTCTTTTTATTTTCTTGAATGGGATATGGCCAAGATACAAAATCCAAGTTTTCGATTTCGCCTCCCCCCCCCCTTCATTTATTCATTTAAATATTTTGAAGGATGGGAGTAAAGGTTTGGTGGGAGAGGGTAGTCTGTGGGCCAGACCCCTTTCCTTGCATCCTACCTCCACATCACTATAAATTTCATATCATTGTGTTCCTTGTAACTATATATTAAAAAAATTCAACGTTAACACAAAAAAAAGTGGCCGCACTGTGCCAAAAAGGTGACCAACCATGGCAGATTGGCTACTTTGACTCAGGTTAGTTTTTCGGTCACTGAGATTTAGCATTTGGTTTAATTTCTTCATTATTGGTCTTTTATTAAACCTAAATAGTCAGAGAATAATAAAACATCAACAAATTTTATAAAATAATTGTCCTTGGCAATAAAAAATACTAGTTAAGTCAATTTTTTCAAGTCGTTCAAATTAAATTTGAAAATCAAGCATCATTTGTTATTAAACAGTCAACGATAACAAAAAACTGCTCGAAATAAAATAAATTTCTCTTTTCTAGCAGTTTTTTCTTCTTCACTTCTTTATCTTTCTTATTTGGCAATGATTACTTCCAATTAACAACAATTGAATTTATTTGTTGTATTATCAAATTGCATGTTTACAAGTTAGCGTTTCGGGATATTTACTCCCATCTTCAGAACCACAATCCCAATGATCTTGTGAATACTTGGCTAAAAAATTGAGTTAAAATATAGTGCATGTCACAATACATGTCAGAATTGGGTTGTTACATTAAATTTGTAATTACCTTAAATCTAATGTGCTCCATCGTCAGGTTCTAATTCAAGTTATAATAAATCAAGGTATATAACATCCGGAGCAACATCTTCCTTTTAGACTAATTATTCTATGTATGCCATAGTGAATACAATTGACCTTAGGATATGACTGTTTATTTTTATACTATTGTTGTCAATGTTTATTTTTTATGTATCTGCAATTTCATTTTTATTAAATTTTAATTTTGTTTTTAATTTAAGTTAATTTAATTTTTATGATGTGATGTGCTGAAGCTGTTGTGTTTATGCTTTTTGTATTTTTACAGTTAGTAATATGTTGTGAAATTCTGGTCCGTAATTGCGTGGATGTTTCACCAATGTAGATTTTGGGGCAGTTTTGACAATTTAATTTATATATTACATTTTTCTTGTTTATTAAGTCTATTTTATCTTTTGTATTGGTGATGTGCCTGCTCAGTTTTTTATTATTATATTGCCCGAGTTTAATTTCTGTTGTCATAATTTTTTAATGCGCCTTTAATTTTGTTAGTAAGTTCGGGTATGTATGTCATTTTGTAGTAGGAGTTAAAGTCCATTTTGTTTGTTTGTGACATGTCCTGATTGTTCTCGTTTGTTGGATTTGTTTTTTCAAAAAATTGGGTGATGAATTGTTGTGTCGTTTTCCCTAAAGATAATAAGTTAATGATATTTCTTGGTATTTCAAGTTTTGTGAGATTTTAAATACATAGATACATAAAATACATAGATAAATTCATTAAAAATAATCTTTCAGCCTCAGACTCCACTACACCTAGAATCCATGGCCTCATAAAACTCCACAAAACTGACAATAGACAATAGCCCTCTCCAAATTCCTAAACCCATCCCTCAACGCTCTTAATAATAATAATAACTTTGATGTCAAAAATGCTATAGAATTGAAAGAAATAATTAAAATTTTCCAATGTAATATAAAACATGTAGAAATTATAAGTTTAGACGCTGAATCACTTTTTACTAATATTCCGTTAGATGAATGTATACAAATTATAGATGACAACTGGGACAGCGTAAAAAGTGAAACCAAAATTAAATATAAAAGAATATTCATCGATGGAATAAATCTTTGGACAACAAATAATTATTTCAAATAGAGTAACAAATTTTATTAACAACTTTGGGGAGTCGGGGTGGGAAGTATTCTGTCAGCGAATTTAAGTGGCATATTTTTAAACAAACTGATCACAACACAACCAACTAACTTAGAACAAAAACCACTGTTAATAAAAAAATACATAGATGACTTGCTACTTATAATAAAAAAAGATTCGGAAAATGAAATAATGAAAAGCTTCAAGCAGTATAACAAAAGAATCAGATTTACAATAGAAAAGGCCACAAACAACAGACTCAGATTTTTGGATATGGACATAATTTTGGACAAAGGACAGGTACTTACCAAATGGGCAAAAAAAGAGAAAACCAGTAATAGAATCCTTAACTTTAGCTCAAACCATCCCAAACATCAAATAATTAATACAGCCAAGAACCTAATACACAAATCAATATAACTTACGGACAAACCTTACATTCTACAAGTAAAAACAGAAATATACAGAATACTTATAGAGAACTTTTACTCTGTAAACTTAATCAACAAACTTGGTACTGTCGATTATATACAACACTAAACCATAATGAAAATAAAACCAAAAAACAAACAATACAAATGACACCAAAAAAAAACATTACAATCAAGAAACCTACACAACAATTGATCCCCCAATTTTTTGAAAAAACAAATCAACATAGAAAAAACAAAGATAAAATAGACTTAATAAACAAGAAAAATGTAATATATAAATTAAATTGTCAAAACTGCCCCAAAATCTACATTGGTGAAACATCCAAGCAATTACGGACCAGAATTTCACAACATATTACTAACTGTAAAAATACAAAAAACATAAACACAACAGCTTTAGCACATCACAGCATAATTCAACTTCAATAAACCACAGATATTAGGCACAGAACCAAAAAACACCAATAGGAAATTACTTGAAGCCATACACATCACAAAAAACAATAGAACAACAGTAAATTATAAAACAGACACTAAACATTTAGGAACACATTATGCTGACATATTAAACAAAATTAAAATTGAATAAAAATGAAATTGCAGATACATAAAAAGTAAACATTGACAACAATAGTATAAAAATAAACAGTCATATCCTAAGGTCAATTATATTCACTATGGCATGCATCCAATAATTATTCTAAAAACAAGATGTTGCTCTGGATGTTATATACCTTGATTTTTATTATAACTTGAATTAGAACCTGGCGATGGAGCACATTAGATTTAAGGTAATTACAAATTTAATGTAACTACCCAATTCTGACATGTATTGTGACATGAACTATATTTTAACTCAATTTTTTAGCCATGTATCCACAAGATCATTGGGATTGTGGTTCTGAAGATGGGAGTAAATATCCCGAAACGTTAACTTGTAAACATACAATTTGATAATACAACAAATAAATTCAATTGTTAATTGGAAGTAATCATTGCCAAATAAGAAAGAATATCATACAACTTCCCAAAAAAAGTACACTTTTATCTTTTTCTTTGATTGGTCTCCATATCTAACCCTGAAGAAATTAAATTTCTGAGTCGAGGAGAGTTTTGAAAGGTGCAGTAAGCGCTTTTGTTTGTTGCCTGCTGGTTCTTTAAGAAGAAGATCGAACACAATAAATGACTCAGGTCTAGCTTTCTTATTTTATCAATTAACTTATAATATTAGATTTACATAAATCAACATAGGAATTCTATCTTTTATTATTTATAGTCACTCCTATATTCATGTATCCTAGTCCTTCAAAATAATAATTTAAATAAATGCCATTTTTGCTGAAAATACAGCTACTATTAGGTAACAAGATAACATATCACATTATTTTTTTATACAATTTGAGGTGAATCTCATTTTTCCTAATAAAACTCAACTTAATTGATATGGACTTAAAGTTTATTAAACGAGGAAGTTTTTCTAAAAGTGGGGTAACTGTAGTATAGCTTAATGATGATTAAAAAAATTGAAAATAATTTTTATCTTTTAAAAAAAAGAAATCGCCTACTTTAGCCAAAGTCTCTTAAAGTCCTCTTTTAACAATGATAAACTCTATTTTCATTTTAAGTAAATTTTATCTAGTTTACAATGAATCAATTGTTAATTACTTAAGTGGATGTATAGCTTTATACAATACATGGTAGAGATGGGTAGTACTCAATCACTTTTCATAATTTAAGTACTTTTCTTAAGAAAAAGTACAGAGTTCTCTCCGTACCTCAATACTGAACCTGTTCTATGATAGAAATAGTATTTGAATTAAACACTGTACTCAAAGTACATTAAGTATTTTTGCCCATTTCTACTTCGTAGTATATTTATAAATTGGTTTTTAAGGTTGTAAGTATGCAAAATTTAATTAATTTTATTATTATCATTTTAGAGAAATCCAAAAATGGAACTCTGCAAATCCGATCTCCTTAAATTATTGAGCTGTCTTGAAGGGGAACTACAAGCAAGAGATATAGTTATTGCAACCTTGAAGGTACAGTACGCAACTAATGGACTTTTTTATTTTTATTTTATTTTTCAATCTTCTGGCTGCTACTATGTGTGGAATAGCCTCAGTCCATCTCTTGTAGATATCCCTATTCAAAGCCATTCTTCAGAGCTAATCCATTGAGCAACAATTTTCTCTTTTGAATCCATGTATGTTATCATTATAGCTAACTCTTGGTCTACTAATAGGACACTTATTGGCATTGCTTCCATCAGCCAATTCACCTTTCGGTCACCTCCCATTCTATGACCAAACCATGTTAGCCTGTTGCCTCTCAAGTTGCTAAGTTTTAATAATTTAATGGAAATAAATTTTAAATTGGAGTAAACATATCTATCTTTGTGGTGCTACAATCCTCAGTGGGTTTTGGCCTCCTCAATAAACCTCCTCCATTTGGCTCAGTTCAGTTCTGCCACCTTCCAGTTAATGATCCCTTAGATGTTTGTTGCTTCCCCAGCCACTTCGTCAGCCCACCTTAACCTTGGTCTTCCAGCTCTTCGGGTCCTACAGAAAACCTCTTCAGATACCTTCTTCGGTATTTCTTCTTCACTCATCTTAGCCAGACCAGCCCAACTGAGTCTCCCAATCTTATTGAATCTGGCCACGTTAGCCGCCTTTTAGATTTAGTACAGCTGTCAGTTCTTTCTAATCCTCCATCCCTTGGCAAATCTCAATGGACCAGTAATATGCTTTATAATTTTTTGCTCCAAAATCAGTAATAGTCCAGTCAATAATGGAGATATAGAGTGCGTGAGCAGGAAGTTGTAGAGATATAAATTTCCTATTAGAATATATATACATATGCAAATTAATCACTAGCCAGTCTACAGTTATAACTATTTTGTATATTTTCGCAAATTGTGGTGAGCTGGAGGGCGGGAAGGTGAGGAAAGGTCAATAATTTTGGATTTTCGCTTATATCTCGAAAACCGTACATTGCAGAAGAAATTTTTCGTGTAATAGATTAAAGTTTATAAAACTATATAAAACTTTTCTTCTACAAGCTACACCCTCAGAAAAAGTTGACATTTAAAATAAAAAATCATTTTGCCTCACATTTTTCATTACACATTCCTTCATATCGTCTAAGCTATTCATCAGAGAAAGAAATTTATTCAAAGAAGTTGTAGAGACTTAAATTTCCTATTAGAATATATATACACATGCAAATTAATCTCCAACCAGTCTACAGTTACAGCTATTTTGTAATTTTTCACAAAAATGTTTTCATCATATTCTTGACTCACAACTTTTGTTCGTTTGCCTAATAATATGTGTGGCCACACTTTAAATCCAATTATTAAATAAAGTAAAAAAAAAGTCACGTTACTTCAAACATTTACCTGTACCACTACAACCCATGATGGATCTGGGGTTCAGTACTATTTAGGGAAAGCACTGTTTCTAGGTCAACAGTTGTGCAAGGAGGTGATTTGACCGAGATCACGCTCAACCGCCAGATTTTCCCCCTTAATTAATTATTTAATTAAGGGTACCCACTTTATAGAGGCTGGGTGTGCCCCAGGAGGGACTTCTGACCCAAGGTCGCCCCACGGCCAATGAAACAGATAAATAAATTTTCTGCCATGAGCCGGGGTTCGAACTCGGGACCTTTGCATTGGAAGATCAGTGCCCTACCACTGAGCTACCCCGCTCCCTCTTCAAACATTTAATATTGTATTTTATGAATAATAAAAGTCTCATGATAATTTTATTCTATCTTGTTACATTATCATCATCATCATATGTGGCACGACATCCCATTACCGAGACTGGGCCTCCTCCAGGAGCCTCCGCCAGTTGGCTCTGTCTTCTGCTGCAGCTCTCCAGTTCCGTACACCAATCAGGGTTCTCGCATCATAGGCCACGTTGTCCAACCATCTCGTCCTCGGCCTTCCTACCCGTCTAACGAGGTGCAGCTCCTCCATCATTATTTTCTTTGGTATTTCAACGGTGCTCATTCTGGCCACATGCCCTACCCACCTTAGTCTGGCCAGTTTAATATACGTGACTACGTCGATGTCTGTATAGAGAGAACTGAGCTCCCTATTTTTTCTTTTCCTCCAGACATCACCCTCCTTTACTGGACCATAAATCCTTCTGAGGACTCCTTGCTCAAACACACTCAGCTTCATCTCATCATTTCTAGTCATCGTCCAAGCCTCTGAGCCATATGTCAAAACAGGCCGAACAAGGGTCTTGTATATGATCAGCTTGGTCTTCTTTGAGAGGTACCTACTTCTTAAGTGTCGGCCAAGTCCAAAGACACATCTATTGGCAGCCGTGATCCTTCTTTGTATTTTTTGAGCCATGTCATTTTTGCTATTAATTTCAGACCCAAGGTATATAAAACTTTTCACTCTCTCAAACTTAAAAGAACCTAGCTCAAATGGAGAGTTCAGATCCACCTCACCACCAACTCTCATGTACTTAGTTTTCCTCTCGTTGACTTCTAGACCAAGTAGTCTTGCAGCTGCTTCAAGGCCTATAAACGCTTCTCTGAGAGCCCGTTCAGACCTACCTATTATGTCAATATCATCAGCAAAACCGAGAAGCTGTGTCAGGCGATTGAAGATTATATCGTTGGTCTGAATACCGGAGTCTCTTACAGCTTTCTCCTCTGCCAAGTTGAACAATAGACAGGCGAGGGCATCCCCTTGCCTAACCCCACTGCTCACTTTAAACTCTTCGGAGTCGTCAGAACCGACGCGTATTCTACATCTCGAGCTGTCCATGGTCATCTTGATTAGGCGTACGAGCTTCTGAGGGATGCTTAGCTCCTCCAAGGCACAGTATAGTTGCGTTCTATCAACGCTGTCGTATGCTGCTTTAAAGTCCAGGAATAAATGGTGGGTGACTACCTTACGCTCCATAGTCTTTTCTAGGATCATCCTCAGAGAGAACAGTTGATCAGTGGTTGTGAGCGTCCTCTTTGAAATCCAGCCTGATATTTCCCCAGTTCCTTTTCAGAATATTGGAGGATCCTCTCAAAAAGAATGTTAGAGAGCAGCTTGTAAGCACACGAAAGGAGTGAGATTCCTCGATAGTTAGCGCATTCTGTTTGATCTCCTTTCTTATGTATTGGGCAGATAATGGCTGTTGCCCATTCCATAGACATAGCTTCCTTCTCCGAGATGGTCAGCATTAAATCATGCAGAGCTTTCTTGAGTTCTTCACCTCCACATTTCAACAGCTCTGACTGGATTCCATCCGAGCCTGGCGCCTTTCCATTTTTCAATTTCCTCAGGGCGTTTTCCATTTCCTCCTCATCCGGGGGTTCAATAGAATTCAGGGAGTCTTCCTTCATTACTGCTACTTCTCCAGGCACCGTTCCTCTGTTTAATGCATGTTTGAAATGTTGTACCCATCTCCTTAGTACGTCATCTTTGTGGCTTAAAAGAGTTCAGGTCTCTTTGCATGCCGTCACTCTGGGCCTGAAAGCTGCCCTACCCTCGTTTATTCTCTGAAAGAACAGCCGACTTTCATTTTGGCTGCGCAATGCCTCTGTGTCCTCCATGTTCTTATTTACCCAAGCTCTTCTCTTTCCGCGGAATAATCTCTTCTCTTCACGTCTTTTTCTTCGATATGTTTCTTGGGAGAGCCTTGTGGGACGCTGAACCTTCTTTCTGTAGGCTTCATTTTTCACTTTTACTGCTTGAAGGCACTCAGCATCAAACCATGGGGCCCTTCTAGATTTAGTCTCGTAGCCAAGAGATTCTTCTGCTGCCTGTTTCATTGCGTTGCTGCATCTCTTCCACTGTTCATCGACCATAGAGCTGTCATTAATTACTTCTTCATTAAGTTTCGTCTCCACAGCTTGTTGATACGAATATTGGTGGTCTGAGTCCTTAAGTTTAGCCACATCAATCTTCTTCTTTGGTCGTTGGTAGTGGTTTTTAATCAGCGAAATTCGTGATCTGACCTCGGCAATACTCAAATAGTGATCCGTGTCCATATTTGCACCTCTATAAGATCTTGCATTTATCATGTTGGACTTGTGACGGGCACTAATGAGTAATGAGTACATGGTCTATCTGTTTGCCCATTTGGAGAGATCCATGTTGCTCTGTGGATATTCTTTCGCGGAAAAAGAGTTGTTCCAACAACCAGTCCGTGCAATGTAGCAAAGTTCACCATCCGTAGCCCATTATCATTACTGGTCTCATGCAAGCTGTGGGTTCCTATGGTCGGCATGAGTGCCACCTCCTTACCAACTTGGGCGTTAAAGTCACCAAGAATGATTTTAACATCATTTTTGGGGCAGCTTTCTGTCACGCGTCCAAGTTCTTCATAAAATGTTTCCTTATCCTCCTCAGGTGACACCTTTGTTGGGGCATGGCAGTTAATTAGAGAGAAATTAAAAAATTTTCCTCTAAGCCGAATGTAGCATAACCTTTGGTTAATGGGAGTAAATCGCATCACTAGCTGTCGAGCTCTGCCTCTCACAACAAATGCGGTACCGAAGATGTGATGCTTTTCATGGCAGCTATAGTAGAGTGTATGGTACTTCTTCTCCATAATTCCCTGTCCTATCCATCGGACCTCTTGGATAGCTGCTATGTCAATTCTGTATGTGTCCACTTCTGCAAGGAGCACACGAAGTGCTCCTAGTCTATGTAATGATAAAATGTTCCAAAATCCAATTCTTAGGTCATTTAGGCGTTTCCTGGGTCTGTTACCGTAATTCAGTCCGGCTTCTTCTCTTTGAGGTTTCGTAATAAGGTACTTTAGGGGGGTTGGGTTATTAGCCCACTGCCCCTGAGTCAGGTAGAGGGGCTGCCTCCTCCGAGCATCCTGACTAGCTCCCCAATCCGGGGCAGCTACCTAGGGAAGGTGACCCTAGGGTGTGTACTGTAGGTGACCTTTGTCTGTAGTGTTTAGGTGTTGTAGTGTGCTGTATAAAGTGTACTTGGTGTGTGAGTGTTCGTGTAAGTGTTCCCCCAACGTGGAGGGCCAGTGGCTGGTTGCGGTACAATGACCGGGCGATGGGACCGCCACCTCCCTACGCCCTTGTTACATTAAGTATATAAAATTATAAAACTCATTGTTATCATTGTTCTCAATAACTTTTTAATATTACTCTCAAAACTTTATATGGGTTCACATTTTCTTCCACTTTGGATGTGCGGGTCTTGGCAAAGATTGTTCGCCCACGGCATCTTCACTCTCAGTAGAGGTACGCGGTGGGCCAGATCTACCTACCGTGCATTGAACGTCCAAAGTGGATGATAACATGAATACCATATAAAGTCATGAGTATAATATTAAGAATTTATTTAGAACAGTGATAACAATGAGGTTTATAATTGTATATACTTAATATAACAAAATAGAATAAAATTATCATGAAACTTTTTTTATCGTCTAAGCTATTCATCAGAGAAAGAAATTCATTTCAAAGAAGTTGTAGAGACTTAAATTTTCTAAATAAATTCGTTACATTGTATATAAATGTTTAAAGTAACATGATTTTTTTCAACTTTATTTAATAATTGGATTTAAAGTGTGACCACACGATCACGAATCCGATGATCCGCTGTCTTTACCTTCCCCTGACAATAAATCCAACTTCAAAGATGTGATTTCTAACCTGGCAGCTATATCATATCTTTTTTCTACAAGTTCTTGGCCCGGTTCAACAGATCTCCTGGATAGTGGTTAAGTCTAATTTATACTTGTCAAGTTCTGTAAAGAGGACTTGAAGCCCTCCCGGTCCGTATAATGATAAAATATTCCAAGAACCAAGTTAGATGTCCATTTGACGGTGTCCGTGTCTGTTACTATTAAATTGTCAGGCATTGTCTTTTTGAGGTTTCATAACAAGTTACTTTAGCTGGAACAGGTTATCAGCCCACTGCCCTTTAGTCAGGTGGAGGGGCTGCCTCTCCTCAGAGTGCCCTGAGGCACTCTCCCGTCCATGGTGGCTACCTATAGAGGTGATCCTTTGTCAGTTTAACAGTTTTTTTTTTCTCAACCTAAATATCTTCTCTCATTTTTTTTATGTCCTTCTCTATCTAAAGATTGCTCTTATCTGTTTTTGGGTCCTACCAGGTTCTCTCCTGTTTAATATTTCCATCTTCCATTTTTTCATTCCACAATAATCATACGTGAGCTTCCAGGTTTCGTTTCATGAACATGTCCAAACTAGTTGAACTTTGTTTCTTCTGTCATTGTGAGGATGTTGTTTACTTCCAGGAGTTTTCTAATCTGTTATCTGTAATTATTCCTCCTTGTCTCATCTCTTATTATCTGATAGCTTAACTGTGATTGCCTCGTTTGTGGGGAGAGGAGGGATTTTCCATTGAACTTGCAATAAAATTAAAAATTATTTTTATAAGACCCATCTTTGGGATCTAAACACACTAACTCATATTTCTTTTTATTTTATCGCATTAAGTTGGTTTTATCCTTCTCTCCGATAGATGGATTTTTTCGTTTTTTGTTATCTTTTCCTTTCTCTTAAAACAATAAATATCCTTATTTTATTGAACTTCTTAACCTGTGACCCTCCTTTGTTTATTATTATTTTATTTTGTAATTCCTTGAACTTTATGAAAGTATAAAATATAAGGAAAACATTTGAAAGTTATTATTGAACTTCTGATATGTAATTTCCCATCTATGTATTTTGTTCATTTAATTTTATTTGCGTGCATTTATACATGAGATATTTATATTTAAACCTTTTTTTCAGTGTGAAAAAATGAAGTACATGTTAAGTCAGGGTCAGTACAAGTCATCTTGTCTCTCAGATCCTATTTCCGCTTTGCATAGAGATGGTTTTGCTGCACCCAGTCGTTCTATTGATCAAGCAGATTTGGTTTCTATTGATCAACAGAAAACATACTTAGAAAACTTATCATTTCAACTTAGAAAATCACAAATTAGAATGGCTAAAATACTAAAAGATGCTGAATTACGACATTGTAAGGTATATATAGTTTATAACTTTTGTGTTTTTACTGCTATTATATGTTTGTCTGTGTGGGAAAACTATGAATTGTTTGCTATTTTTTAGTATGTGTACTTAAGAGCAAATATTAAATGAATTTTGAAAATGCTGTGTTAAAAATAGAAGTCATTTTAGTTACATTTAAAATATAAATGATTTGAAGAATTTTCAATATCCCTGCAATATTGTTGAACTAATAAATAATAACAATGAAATTTCAACCTTCATAATATGAAGTTTAAAGATTAACTATGAATGTTAGGTTAACTAAATATTATTCAATTAGTTATTATTAGAGACCGGATTTGCGTGCAGTAAAGACTCAAAATGTGCACAATTGTGCATTAAAAATCCCAAATACGTAAACTTGTCTGATTAACACTTAAAAACGTTCAAAATCATCAGAATTGTTTAATTTATAATATTAATACATCGAAATCTTATCAGATGTTGAGTTAAACAAGAGATCAAATAAAAATAATAAAGCATAACATTGAAAATGAAATTACAGATCATAATCAACAGGCATAAATCCGCAGAAGATAAATCTTTGTATCTTCACTATGCGACTGTGGTATGGTGGCATAGGGTTGCTACAAACAAGCCTAAAGAGCTGCTTGGATAACTTCAAAGGCTTGTATACCTTATGACTACTGGAGCTATGAGCACTACTTCCACTGCTGTAATGAAAGTTCCCTTGACTTGAACTTGACGCCATTGCACTTAAAGGTGGAAGCTCTTAGAAATGAAATGAAATGAAAAAATATTTTATTATTCTGGGACTGTTGTCCCTTTAGAACAAATTATAAATACAGATTGTATGTCTGTGTGGTTACAATTAGATTACATATTTAAAATAAGAGTTGACTAAAACTAAAAATATTGAAGAAGAGAAAGAAAAGAACAAGAAAATTGTACATATATATGAGAAACTAAAAATAACCTAAATAAATTGAGGTAGTCTCTGGGGGTGCTTAGATATTTCTCTTAAGTATATTTCGTAATCAGTCGGATTGTATCAGTAGGTGTTTAAAGAGGAGAGGTTTCAAAGAGGAAACTGATTGAGCGTGTCGAATATTAGCAGGGATGGAATTCCAGAGGGAGGCGGCTTGTATTGCAAAGGATTTGTCAAATGCAGCAGTTTGGTGAGGAGGAGGATAGAGGTCGGAAGTACGAGATCTAGTGGGACGGGATTGGATGGAGTATTTGAATTGTAAGCTGTGAAAAATATAGGAGGGTTGATGAGCACTAATGATTTGGTACAGAAAGGTAGCTAGGAAGTACTGACGGCCGCTATCGCTGATGGCGCTATCGCCCATCTCCGTGATGGGTAAAGCCACCTCAACTCAGTGTAATACTGGGTAATATGCGTATCCCTTGAGATTCCAAAAACAAATTGTAGTGCCCAATTCATTAGGCGTTTAAGTTTGGCCTCGGAATCTCCCGAGAGTCCACCGTACACAATACAGCCATAGTCGAAGTGAGGGAAAACAAGGGAGAAAACTAGGAGTTGACGGGACTTAAATGGAAGGAGATATTGTAGACGATTGAACTGTTTTAGGGTAGAGATAGTGCAATGGGAAATTTGGGAGATGTGTGGTTTCCAGGATAGGGTTTGATCAAAAGTAACACCTAGAACTGCCTATAGAATGGATAAATTGGGAACAAGATCACAATTCCTGACATTTCAGGGACATGGGGTCGTTTTTGATAGAATTGATTGCAACAAGGTGCTCACGATGAACTCAGACCTTCAAATTGATAAATATTGAGACATAATCAATAGTTCGATTTTAAGTAGGAATAACTCTCACAGACCGTGTAATGGAGTTAACTGTTATACTGACAGATCTTTGATAGAGCAAGGATCAGGTGCTGGCATCTGGGCAAAGGATATACCTAATGAGCAAATATTCATATCTCTAGGTAGACATACATCCATCTTTCAGGCCGAGATTCTAGCTACCGACTTCTGTCCTCAATCACTAATAAGGGAGGACACTACGAACAGATTGATTACAATCTACATGGATAGTCAAGCGGCAATTGGGGGCCTGAATAGTTATACAACCCACTCCAAGTTGGTAGATGAGTATAAAGGTAATCTGAACTTTCTCTATAGTACCAACAAGGTGAGGGTGGAATGGGTGCCTGAGCCCTCAGCTATTCCAGGTAATGAGAAAGCTGATTACCTTATTAGGAAGGAAGGGCTCTGAACAAGTGCCAGTAGCAGCACCCGTGCCCATCTCTAGGATTAGCCTCAGCTGTGCCAAAAGGCATATTAAGGCAGTTGTTGGCAATAAAACTAAGCTCCATTAGGAACCGATTAGGAAAAAACTCACTCTATATTGTTCTTAGAAGGACCATGTCAGAAGAGAAGCATATCACTTCTTCTAATGGACAGGAGCAGCACCATTACGTGTGTGACAGGACTGTATACTGGTCACTGTTGACTCAATAAGCACCTCTTTAACTTGGGCTCACACCTGCAGGCTGTGTGACTTGGAGGATGAGATTGCCTATAACCTTATATGCAGATGTGATAATTTGGCTAGACTGCGATACAAAAAAAAAATAACTGTAAAACATATATTGGCTGTGAAATGTGGTTGTCAGTGAAAATATGGAAAGGGAGATTAAATTTATTATATAGTTTTATGAAGTTACAAGATTTTAGTATATATTCAAAAAAATTTCAAACTAGGATATTTATAAACATACTTGGGCATCATCAGATTCCTAAATGCAAAATTAAATCAATTATGACATAGGTGGTAAAGTAGTATAATTAATGTATGGTCTTATCGTGGGGTAGAATGTGGGTCCGATCATGAATTAGTTATCGCGAAACTTAGACAAAAACAATATAAAAAATAGGAAAGAAAACAGTTTCAGTTCCAAAAATTTTAACCTGGAAAAATTAAGAAATCCATCAATTAGAAATCAATGCAAGCTAGAAGTTAGGAATATGTTTGAAGCTTTAGAATCTTCTGATGAGAATCTTGATGATACAGATAAGTTATGGGTAGGGATCAGGGATGATATTAAAGAGGTCGGTAACTCATGTCTTGGGAAAAAGAATAATTAAAATAACAAACCGTGGTTCAATGAACATTGTTTAAACATGTGTGAAAAGAAAAACTGTATATAATCCTAGCAAAAACAATCTTGAATACTTCCGAACCTTAAAGAATGAACTGACTGAATTGCTCAAAATAAAAAAAAGAGAGTATCTTAAAAATAAAATAATATAAGTAGAAACTAATAGAATAAAAAATAATGTAAAAGGCATGTACAAATATATAAACAGATCACATTTATTTTTAGGACCCATAACTAATGGAATCAGGGATAAAAATAGCAATATCCAAGTTTGTACAGAAAGAGTTCCATTTTGTAGTTCTGAGATCCCTAAATTCCATATCATGTTTGCTGTCACACAAATCGAATCTAATAAGAGGTTCTTATTGAGTCGACAGTGACCAGTATACAGTCCTGTCACACACCTAATGGTGGTGCTCCTGTCCATTAGAAGAAGTGATATGCTTCTCTTCTGACATGGTCCTTCTAGGAACAATATAGAGTGAGTTTTTTTCCTAATCTGTTCCTAATGGAGCTTAGTTTTATTGCCAACAACTGCCTTTATATGCCTTTTGGCACAGAGAATAATGAAAAGAACAAACCGTGGTTCAATGAAGATTGTTTAAACATGTGTGAAAAAAAAACTATATATAATCCTAGTAAAAACAATCTTGAATACTTCCGAACCTTAAAGAATGAACTGACTGAATTGCTCAAAATAAAAAAAAGAGAGTATCTTAAAAATAAAATAATAGAAATAGAAACTAATAGAACAAAAAATAATGTAAAAGACATGTACAAATGTATAAAAATATCATGTAAATGTTTAGGACCCATAACGAATGGAATCAAGGATACAAATAACAATATCCTGATTGATCACATAGATATAATAAGCAAGTTTAAGAAACACTTTGCCAATATTTTAAATTGGGAAATTATATCTCTGTCTTCCCTCTGAGTACCAGAGTGATGAGCTGTTAATAGAAGAGTCAAGCAAAGAGGAAGATAAAGTAGCTATCGGAAAATCATAATCTTATAAAGCAGTGGGAACCGATAATTTTTCTAGTGAACTAAATAAGGCATGCGGTCAAATTGGAGTTATTAAAATAAATTTGTTAGTTAAAAATATCTGGGAGAATGAGAAGGAATTTATTCTTATTCCGATTCACTAAAAGGGCCTGAGGGTGGATTGTAATAACTAGAGACCAGATTTTTATGTTGCAAAAATTCGAAAGATGTGCAGCTAAAAACTCAAAATGTGCAAAATAATTTAGTGAAAACCCAAAATACGTAAATTGTCTAATTAACATCTAAAAATGTGCAAAATCATCAAAATGCTTCATGGAAGAAGACTTGATGAACATCAAAAATGAACTTTAATTACTCTATCATAACTTCCATACTTATACTCCTAAACATAAAATTAAGCCTAAAGTGGTATTAAAAGGCATGCCCCCTGACTTTCCTATCGAAGACATTCAGGCCTACCTAAGTAGACAAGGCTTAGAAATTTACAAAATCTTTCAAATGATTAAAAAATCTGAAGGTGTTGAAAAAAAATTAACATTTTCAATATTTATACTAAATAATAAAGAGCAATTGGTTAAACTTAATTGTATAAAATACTGCGACAATGTTGTTATTTCATGGGAAAAATATGTGAGTAAAAAAGTTTTGACACGTTATTTATGTCAAGAATATAATCACGTAGCTGGAAACTACTTCAAAAAAATCCAGATGCCTGAAGTGTTCTTAGGAACACTTATCAAAAGACTGGTAATATCATACGTGAGGATTTCGTCCTGAAGTACAGTAACTGCAATGAAGGACATTTCTCAAAATATAAATTGAATTTGAATTTTGTGATGGAACTGGTTTTTTATGTGTTTATTTTT